AAGCGGGTGACACGGAAGAGACACCCAGCACAGAGCTGTCAGTGCCGTGGGTTGTAGTGCTGGGTCGCCTGTCGGGTTCCTGGGCGGAGGTAGGGGCGTGGTGGTGAATGCTGGGGGAGCTTCCGTCTCAGAACTTGAGATGAAGGGTCCGACAGTGGAGCACGGTGCTCCCAGTAAGGCAGCCTGCCTTAGTGTGTATTTGAAGGGAGAGGAAGGCCCACTGTGGCCTTTGGGACCTGTGGCTGCCGAGGGCTGCTCCTCTCCTTTCTAACCAGCGTCGCAGAGCACAGACTTTGGGACTCCAGGTTCTCACTAGTCGTGCGACTTCCAGAGAGGTTTCTGAAATCCACAGCCCCTCGTTTCACTCCTCAAATGGGGATGATAGTAACACTGATCCTAGGCTTGTGGCGAGTATAAGGGAGAACGGTACGTGACACAAGTGAGCAACATGTAAGTGAGCGCTTAGTTATTAGATAACGACCCCAAGGATCTCACAGCCACCTAGAGAGCAGAATTCATGGGAAGAAAAGGAGAAGTTGAGCCCAGAGTAAAGGTTTCAGGTCAACATATAAAATAAGCCTGAAGTCTAGGCTGGAGCTTAGGTTCATAATTTTCTGGTCAGGGTCCTGGGAAGGCAGTAGTGGGGTGTGGGAGCGGAAACCAGGAGTACAGGGTCTTCAGGATGGAGATGACCTTAGGGAGCCTGTGGGGTGAATAACCTGGGTTGGGAAGTAGCAGGGCCCGCGGGGGAGTATTTCCCAATAACACAGGGATCTGGAGATGTTTCTGTGTCTAGACCAGGGTTTCTCATTCTTTGCATTGTGGATACTTTGGGCCAGATCATTTTTTGCTTAGGGGTGTGTATATGGTGGTGGCGGGAGGGGCTGCCCTACCTTTTGTAGGATGTGGTCTCTATACACCAGATGGCAGCAGCACATCCCCCTCCTGCCCCAATGTGAAAGCAAAAATGTTTCACGCATTGCCAGGTGTGTCCTGAAGGGCAAAATCACCCCAGTTGAGAATCACTGGTGTATAGAGCCATGATGAGGGCGCCCCATGGACTTTACCAAGGTGTGAGGATAGGGAGGACAGTGAGGGGGCTGGAGGAAAGAAGTGATAAAGGGATGATGTTCTTTAGATGAGAAACTGTCTGTGGTCTGTGGTCTGGATAGGCTCTAAGAGGCTTCACTCATTCGTGTAGTGGCCTGCCATGGGTCAGGCACTGTGTTAGTTAACTGACAAGACAGAGATTACTACTCATCTGGAGTTTGCATTTTATAGGAAGGCAATTCAGTTTATATGGAGTGGTCATAAGTGTTTGGAGAAGTAAAGTAGGGTGAGGAGATTATGGGTTAAGCACAGGATCAACACCCTGGCTTCCCATCTCATTCAACTCCAAAGCCAGTAATAATGGCCACCAGCAGTGACTTGATGGTTATCCTTCAGTAAGGGAATCCGAGTTTGGCTTTGAGCTTATCACAGACTTTTCTTCTTAAGTACTAAGGTCTGGGTTTGGGGGGGGGGGTGGTGGCGGATCTTCCACCCTGCCCCCTGAGGCTCATAGAGACTGGCATAATGGTTCTAACTATGGCTTCCTGGGGCTCCTGGGTGGCTCAGTCAGTTAAACGTCTGCCTTTGGCTCATGTCATGATCTCTTGTGCTCTGTCTCTCTCGTATAAATAATCTTTAAAAAATAAAATAAACTGGGGCGCCTGGGTGGCTCAGTCGTTAAGCGTCTGCCTTCGGCTCAGGTCATGATCCCAGGGTCCTGGGATCCCATTCCACCTGCTTATGTTCCCTCTCTCTCTGTGTCTCTCTCTGTCAAATAAATAAATAAAATATTTTAAAAAAATAAACTATGGCTTCCTATTAGCATCACCTTCAAAAGCTTTTATTTTTTTTATTTTTTTAAGATTTTTATTTATTTGACAGAGACACAGCGAGAGAGGAAACACAAGCAGGGGGAGTGGGAGAGGGAGAAGCAGGCTTCCCGCCGAGCAGGGAGCCCGATGCGGGGCTCAATCCCAGGACCCTGGGATCATGACCTGAGCCGAAGGCAGACGCTTAACGACTGAGCCACCCAGGCGCCCTGAAAGCTTTTATTTTTTTTTAAAGATTTTATTTAAGAGAGGGCGCCTGGGTGGCTCAGTTGGTTGGGCGACTGCCTTCAGCTCAGGTCATGATCCTGGAGTCTTGGGATCGAGTCCCACATCGGGCTCCCTGCTTGGCGGGGAGTCTGCTTCTCCCTCTGACCCTCCCCCATCTCATGCTCTCTCTCTCTCTATCTCATTCTCTCTCTCAAATAAATAAATAAAGTCTTTAAAAAAAAAAAGATTTTATTTAAGAGAGAGTGTGTGTACCCATTGTGCACTAGTAGGGGAGGGGAGGGCAGAGGGAGAAGCAGACTCCCCGCTGAACGGAGAACCCGACGTGGGGCTCGATCCCAGGACCTTGGGATCATGACCTGAGCCGAAGGCAGACACTTAACCAACTGAGCCACCCAGGCACTTGGAAATCTTTTTTAAAAAATGCCCAGGGGCGCCTGGGTGGCTCAGTCAGTTCAGCCTCCGTCTCTTGATTTCAACTCAGGTGTTGATCATGGAGTCGTGAGTTCAAGCCCCATGTTGGGTTCCACACTGGGTGCAGAGCCTACTTTAAAAAATGCCAAGCCAGTCCCCAGAGATTCTGATTAAATTGACCTGCTATCAGGCACAGCCACTGGTATTTATTAAAAAGTTCCTGAGACATTCTAATGTACAAACAAGGTTGAGAGCTGTAGCTCTGAGCTTGCTTGAGGAATGAGGTAAATTAATTTGGTAGAGGAAGGGGAGGATTATGAGTGACCAGTGCTTTCAGCATTTTTTCTAACGCAGTCCTCACAGCTGTGCTTTCCTGCGATAGGGACATTCCTAGCCCTGTCCTGTAAGTGAGGAAATTTGTTCCCATGTAAAGCAGAGAAATGTCAGGGCTCACATTCATGTGCAAAGCCCATGTTTTCTGTTACAGTTGGACTTGGGTCTTTAAGGAAAGAGTCTTCGATATTTCTGGCCTCTGGGGCTGGCAGGTTCAGAGTAGAGGTGATCTTCAAATATTTGACAGATGGTACAGAAAAGCAGACTTTGAAAGGAAGCAGTGAGATTATGCATTAAATGGCTGGTTGTCAAGTGCTGTTGGACCTGCTCCAACTCACTGCTCAACACAGCCCTCTAGGATCATAGAGAAGTTGGGGCTGAGAGGAAGGACCCTAGTTGTCTGCCCCTGAGGGAGGCATGACCACTGCTCAGTAACTCTTTGAAACTTGTTTCCATCCAGGCTTTTGCGATCCTCACTTTAGGGTGAAGAATTTAGCTTTGCGTTAAATTTAAATGGCAGAGCCCTTTTCTCACACTATGTTTGAGATTCAGAAGACAGGCCCGGTGTACAGCTCTACCCCGAGATAGTGTGAGATTCACGCTATTTGTGTTGTTTTGAAGAGGTAGTTAGTATGAGTGAAACACAAATGCCAAAGTATGGATAGGGAAAAGTGAGTTTCGAGTTTCCTTTCCCATGCCAAGTGATATAGTTCCCTTCTTCAGAGACAGTCACTGCTAATGACTTCTTGATTATATTTCCAGAACTTGTCTGCCTTTTCAAACTCAGGTGTTGGTTTTCCATGTTTTCTTTTTTCTAAGTTTTTCTGTACCTTTTTCTGTATCATTACACCACACCGTGGAGATGATTTCACGCAATACCTGTAGAGTAGGTTTCTCAACCTTGGCACAGTTGATGTTTGGACCAGATTGTTCCTTCCTTTGGGGGGTGCCATCTTGTGTAATGTAGGGTGTTGAACAGCATCCTGGCCTCTACCCACTAGATGCCAGGAACACACACACACCCCATTGTGACAACCACAGATGTCCCCAAACATTGCAAGTATCCCCTGGGTGTAAAATTGCCCCAGTGAAGAAGCACTGATATAGTGCTATTTTGTTCCTTTTAAGATCTACATGGTGTCCCATCGTGTACATAACACTCACTTAGCCATTTTCCTATTGATGGGCATTTTGGTTATCTCTAATCTCTTGATAACTTACATTTGGTAAATACTGGCACTGCTCCAGATGTGTTACATGTTTTCATTCATTTAATCTTCCAAACAGCCCTGTGGAATCATTGTTACTTGCCCCATTTGCCAATTGAGGAAGCTGAGGCCTAGAGAGCACATGAGAGTTCACCCATAGGAGGGTAGCAGAGTTAGAAGTTGAACCCAGACAGCCTCCAGGCTCATGCCCTTCACTGTAGAACCATACTGCCTCTTCCTACAAGCCTTGCCACAGTGAATACCCTTGTGTGTCATTTTATCCATATGCAACGCCTTCTAAAGACAAATACCAGAAATGAGGTTTACTGTGTTAGAGGGGATGTGTACCTTCAGTTTTCAAAGATTTGCCGAATTACCCTCCACTGAGGTTGTGCTGCTTTCTCTCCTGCCTGCACTGTATGAGAATTCTACCCACAGCCTTCTGAGTGGGTCTCAGGCTTCCTTGGTCTTTTGGATGCTTGGTGTATACTGAATAAAAGGGATAAAGCAGGTGAGAAATTACTGTGTGCCTGTTGGTGAAGATAGCTCCTATAAAGGTAGCTCATGTCAACTTCCTAACAGCTAAGGGTGAGGTAGGTTTTCTTTACCCCAATAATTGGCAGAGGCAAATTTTGAATACAGAATTACTTAATATCAAACTGCTGTTCTTTCCTCTCCAGAAGTGCTGAGTTCCTCAGAGAAAATTGTTTTGTGGGCAAGAATTGTACTTTTCTAATTTGGGGTACATGGCTGAGTACAAACAGCTATGAGAAACCACAGGATGGACATGATACCACTTCCTGCAATAATCTGTTCTACTTGAGGAATTGGAAGGGAAAAGCCAAGGGATGTATTTATCTGGTAAATAGTTTAAAATACGAGGTTTATATTAATACGGGCTCAGATTTATTATGATGTAGGATGCCAGAGTCATGTGGATGTTTCAAAATGAAACAGAACCAACCAGCAGAAGTTTTCTATAATGACAAAGCTGCTTTGGGTTCTGTCCTGGACCACAGAACCAGGCATTATCTCTACAGTTTGGAGATATTAGTTAAAAGTAGGAGAACTCCCAGGCAAAGAATACAGCTTTGTTCTCAGAGACTCTCTGGCAGTGGAGTGCTGGGGCTGGCTCACACTAGATCCCAAACCTGTTGTGTACACCTTTCCCCAGTTCTGTGCTCAGTGACATGAGTTTGGTAGCTTACAGTGGGGCCCTCATGGGAGTGTTTACACCATGGAAATTGGCAGGTGCTACAAATCACCCAGCATAACCCTGTCCTGGAGTCTAATGCAGAGAGAATTCAGGCATCTTAAGACTCTGGGTAGGCCCCTTTGTCTCTACTTTCTGCATGAGGGAAGCCTTGCTCAGCACACAGAATGGAAGCCCAGGCCACTTAGTTACTGAGCCACAACTCCTCAACCTTAACGTGCTGTGCTGCAAATCTCCCCAAGTCCTGTGGCCACTCTGATAAAAACAGAGTGGCCCTTCTTTTCACTACGTCTGTATCTTTGGGGTAAATACCCAGTAGTGCAATTCCTGGGTCATAGGGTAGCTCTATTTTCAACTTTTTGAGGAACCTCCATACTGTTTTCCAGAGCAGTAATTTTTATTGTTTGATCTGTATGTGTGTATGTATGTATTTATTTTTAAAGATTTTATTTACTTATTGACAGAGAGAGAGAGAACACAAGCAGGGGGAGAGGCAGAAGGACAGGGAGAAGCAGACTCCCTGCTGAGCAGGGAGTCTGATATGGGACTTGATCCCAGGACCCTGGGATCATGGCCTGAGCCGAAGGCGGACACTTAACTGGCCAGGTGCCTCTTGATCTGTATTTAAATTTCATAAAACTTACCATTGGAAAAGTAGATTCACACACCCGGTCATTTCAAACGTTCTTCAAAGTTTTATAGTAACTAAATCAAGGATCAGTTTTTAATTTTAAATTCTAATTCATTAATTTTAATATTTATTATTAATACTTTAGTGGTTATTTAATTGAAACTAAATAACGTTAAACACTCAGTTGCACTAGCCTTATTTCCAGAACTCGGTTGTCACCAGTTGCTGATGGTATGCATGTAGAAGAACAGCATCGGTGCAGAGTGACTCGGTGATGGGCCTAATCCATCCCACTGAATTTCCCTGCTGGATTGACACATACCTGCCTAATGAATTGCCTCTTCAGCTCTTGCATCTCCACTGCCTCTCACCAACATACACAGTTGATTCACCACACAGCCACCCAGCAAATTTTGTTAAATGTTAAGTCAGACATGCCACTCCTCAGACTCGTGCTCCCTCGATGATGTCTTATCACATTTAGGATCAGTTTCAAACTGCTCACAACCGCTTTCATGATGTGGCCCCTCCTGAACTCAGCATCTCACAGACCACCACTCCACACCTCACTCATTCTGCTTCAGCACACCATTTACTTCCCTCCGCATACCAAGTACACACCTGCTCCAGGGCCTTTGCACTTACTGTACCTCTACCCAGAATGCTCTTTCCCAAGCGTCCAAGTGCCTCACACTTGCACTACATTCAAACCTTGACTCAGTGTTGTATCCTCTGGAGGCCTCCGTCAACCCACCCCATCACTCCACCCCCTGCTCTGGTATTGTTGGGTTGTGTTTTGTTTTGTTTTTATAGCAATGATCTCAGCTGACACTGTGTTCTATATGAACTTTCCATCCGTGGTGGAATGTAAGGTACAGGGGAGCTGGTACTTCTGCTCTAACTCTGCTCTTCCCCAGCACCTAGGACAATGCCTGGCACATACTAGACACTTAACAAATGCTTGTCAAATGGATGGATAGCTGTCTTCATGTCTCATTTGCCTCCTGATCTGGAGCCTTCTGTGATCTTGGGAACAGATAGCATTGGCTATGCCCCTTCCCAACCCTGAGAAGGGGCAGGAATGCTGCAGAAGATATTCTGACCTCCCTCCATGTGTGTCTGTGCACCTGTGTGTATGTGTGCATGCACATGCATGTGTGACCAGGGTGAGGGATCAGGGGATTCTTATCCTAGAGACTCTGGGACCACCCAGAAGGCCCTGTCATCCTCATGACTTTTCTTCTCCCACAGCCCCACCTTCTCTGCACTCTGCCCTTCTCCAGATGCGGAGCCTCAAGGGGGAGGAAAGGATGCCTGCTGCACGAGGGAAGTCCAAGTCCAAGGTAAATAGTGATTGTTCTTGCAGGGAAGTTCCATCTTGTAAGACATGGGTCATTTGCTTTCCTTCCATGGAAACTTCCTGCCTGACAGAATCCCATCCAAGATCTGATCTCTGTTTCCTCCATCACCACGGAGGGTAGGAGCATGAGAAGAGCTCCAGCAACCCACGTAACCACTCAGCACCCTCCTCTCCTTTTTTCTCAGTGTGCATATGGCCATTCACCTATTTGTCAAGCATCTCCAGGTTGTTTGCCTAGGCTGCTCCCGAGACGGAAGAAGAGAGCCACCATGATTTCTCAAGGTAGACATGAGTGCCTAGGCAGGATCTGTTGAGGCAGAGGAGGATTCGAGGCTGTGCTCTAGAGTTAATCTGTTGATGTCACTTTGTTTTTACTTGTATAGCCCATATTTACAAGGAGGAAATCTCTCTAATTTTAAGAGACTCCACATAACCTTGTATTCAGATTGGGTTCGTTGGAACCAGGCCAGTGAGTCAACCTTCTGTTAAAAAACATGCTTCACCACTTTAGATGATGAAGTGATTTTCTAAAATAAACATCTTGGATGCAGTTTCTCTAACAAACACTTTTGCCCTCTAAGTTATGTGTTCCCTGTTGCTGCTGTAACAAAGTTCCACAAATTGGGCTGCTCAAAACACATGTTAATGGTGCACAGTTTGTGGGTCAGAGATAAGGCACAGTGCAGCTTGGCTGGGTCCTCTGCTTTCGGTCTCACAAGGCTGAAAAAAGGTGTTGGCTGGCTGGGTGGTCACATCTGAGGCTCTTCAAAACTCATTGTTTATTAGCATATTCAGTTTCTTCTGCTTTCCACCTGGCCCCCTTCCATCTTCAAGCCAGCAATAGCAGGTCAAATCAGGCTTCAGATCTCTCTGACTTCCCTTTCCACTCTCCTCTTCCAGCTGGTGAAAATTTCCCTACTGTTACGGGCTCCGTGATTACATCATCTGCCTAGATAAGGATTTAAGATCAAGTGATCAGTAACCTTGCTTACACCTACAAAGAACCTTTGGCCCTGTGTAGTTGAGTCATGTGCTCTTTAGAGAGTATGTAGTTAGGGGCATGAATCAGAAGCCAGACTGCCCAGCTTGAACTCCAGCTCCCCCGTTCACTAGTTTGGGCACTTCCTTCCATAAGTCACCCTGCCGTTTCTGGGCTCCCATTTCCTGATCTGTAGCATTGCTGTGATTCTCTCAGCAGTATAGTCACTGGCTAACATGGGTCAGTACCTATAGGGTGCTTAGAAAGATGCTCTGCCTTTGTCAGTGCCCAGTAAATCCAAGTTGATACTGCTTTTTATGGCACATAGTTTTTAATAATAGCTATGTCATATTGTGTTGTATTTATTTTATTTAATGCACTTGCTCCTCTTGGCCTCAGAACCTCAACTATTTCCTGAATAGATTCCTGGCACCATGGATCTCCCATGTTTGGGACAAGTTCCTTGTTGTTTCCAGCCATATGGAAGCATAAGCCTGTGGTGAAAGGACGTGTGACTTTCTCTTTCAGGTGCCAGTGACATTTGGGGATTTGGCCATCTACTTTTCCCAGGAAGAGTGGGAATGGCTGAGCCCCATTCAAAAGGATCTGTATGAAGATGTCATGTTGGAGAACTACCAGAACTTGGTCTCTCTCGGTAAGGCTCTCTCCACCCCGTAATCCACAACCAACCCATTGTGGGACATAAATTAGTCTAGTTAGGAAAACAGAAGCCACTGCAGTTTGTTTTTTTTTTTTAGCAGCTTTATTGATGTATAATTCACATGCTCTACATACAAAGTATGTAATTCAGTGGTTTTTAATGTATGCACAGAGTTGTACATCCATCACCAGTCCGTTTTAGAACATTTTCATTACCCCAAAAGAAACCCCATATCCATTAACAATCAGTCTTCATTCCCCTTGCCCACTGATTCCTCCAGATTAGGTAAACATCAATCTGGTTTCTGTCTCTGAATTTGCCTATTCTTGGCCTTTCATAGAAATGGAATCATTAGTATGTGGTCCTTTGTGTCTGGCTTCCTTAACTTAATGTTTTTGAGGTTCATCTACATTGTAGCACGTATCAGTAACCCCTTCCTTTTCATGGCCAATAGTATTCCACATTTTGTTAATCCATTCATCAGTTGACGGGCGTTTGGGCAGTTTTTCACTCTGGCAATTGTGAATATTAACATTTGAGTTTTTGTGTGGACGTATATTTTCATTTCTTCTGGGTGTATACTTAGGAGTGGAATTGCTGTCACATAGTAACTATGTATGTAACCTTTTGAGGACACCTGGTTGTTTTGAGAGAATTTAATACGAGGAATCTACTTAACAGGTGTGATTAAAGGGTAAATAGTGGACAAATATAAATAGTAATGCAGAGTTGGTAACCGCAGGATGCAGGCACCATCCTTGGGCTAGGGATACAAAGGGGAGAGTTTGGGGTTTTTAGGACTTAGAGGAAGGGACTCAGACTTCTGAAGGAAGAGAGAGGTGTGCTGACTAGTCTGTTTATACTTATGAAGGGTCAGGATGAGGCTAATTCTGAGAGTGTGGGGAAAAAAAGAAGCAGAATTAAAACCAGCAGAGCCCCTGTTGCTGGATGCTGACAGGGAGCTTCTGGTGAAGAAGTGTAGTTTGCAGAGCCCCAGCCCCTGCACACAAAACAGATCAGAGAAGGGTGGGATTGGGAGCCGAATGGCAGCAGCTTAATAGCCAGCCTCAGGAGTTTCTGGTCTGATTTTTCAAGAGAGTAATTGGCTTTGTAGAGTTAGAAATGAGCAATTCCGCTTGCTATAACTGAACTTTGATCGTCCTCCTCCTCCTCCTGCCCTTCACATCCTCTGTGCTCCCTTTGTGCTCATAAATCCCCATTCCCGTTGACACAGGGCTTGGCTCTGACATCTGTGGCACCCAGGTCATGCTCAGTGCTGATGTTTTTCCTGAATGCAGGACTTTGCTTTCGGAGGCCAAATGTGATCACCTCATTGGAGAAAGGGAAAGCACCTTGGATAGTGGAGCCAGTGAGGAAACGCCGGGGTGTGGGTGAGTGACAGAGAATCAAGGCTTACTTGTTGCTATCGTTTGTAAGAGCACCCTCCATCTTGAGAGGGCATCCTCTTGAAGGTGTTTGCAAACTGCCAGTTTCCATACCTTAAAGGCCCCCAGGCCTGTAAAGAAAATTCTAGTCTGTAGTGTGAGCCCCCAGAAGGAGAATAACCAACATTTAATAAACCCTTCCTAGGTCCCAGACGTGCTTGTACAGGTTCCTCCCAGGCCTATAAGGTAGGTACTATTATTATTCCTGTTTTACTTATGAGGAAACCAGAGAGCAAGGAAGTTCAGTGACTTGCCTAGGGTAACCCAGCTAGGAAGTGGCGGCACAGCTGGGCTTGAACCCCAGATTCTGGTCTCCGAAGCTCAGCTCTTAATGCCCTTATCCCCACCTATCACATTCCCTGCCTCGGCATGTTCCACCTTCTCTCATGGTAGCATTGCTAATGGTAATGTTCAGACTTGCATGGTTTTCTTCATTCTTTAAAAAAAAAAAAATATTCTCCACAACTGTTCGTTTTGACTACTTTCTAAGAACTCGTTTCCTTTTCTGATAGATTTCTCTTTGGTTAGGTTATTTTTACTTATTTATTTTAACAGTTCTATGAGTGGCTTTTCTGTTGTTGTTGTTGTTGTTTGTTAAGTAGGGTGCACACCTAGCATGGAATCCAGCATGGGGCTTGAACTTAATGACCCTGAGCTCAAGAGTCAGATTCTTAACCAATAGGCACCCCTGAGGTTTTTTAATTGTAAAAAAATCATAACATTGAATTTGTCATCTTAACCATTTTAAAGTGTAGAATTAAGTATATTCACATTGTTGTGCAACAGATATCCAGAACTTTTCCATCTTGTAATAACTTTTGAAACTATATTTACTGAACACTAATTCTCCCTTCACCCTTCCACCTAGCCCTTGGTAGCCACCTTTCTTTGTATTTCTCTGATTTTGAGCACCATGGATACTTTGTATGAATCAAATCATACAGTATTTGTCCTTTTTTCTTGCTGAGCATAACTTCCTTGAGCTTCATCCATGTTGTAACATGTGACAGGATCTTATTTTTTTTTTTGAAGACTGCATAATATTTCATTGTATATGTCATATTTTCTTTATCCATTTATCAATGGATATTTGGGGTGTTCTGCTTCTTGGCTACTTTGCATAATGCTGCAACGAACATAGGAGTACAGATATGTATTTAAGATCCTGATTTCAAATTTTGGGGTATGTACCCAGAGGTGGGATTGCTGGATCATATGATAGATCTATTTTTTATTATCTGGGGAATCTCCATACTGTTTTCCATAGTGGCTGCACCATTTGTCATTTCCACCAACAATGTGTAAATGTTTCAACTTCTTGTCAACACTTGTGATTTTTTGTTTTTTTGATAGTGGCCATCCTTATGGATGTGAGATGATATTGTGGGTTTGATTTGCATTTCCCTAATGATTAGTGAGGTTGAGCATCTTTTCATGTGTTTATTGGCCATGTGTCTGTCTTCCTTGGAGAAGTGTCTGTCAAGTCCTTTGCCCATTTCTGAAAATAGGATTGTCATTTGTTGATGAGTTACAGTTCTTTTTTTTTTTTTAAGATTTTATTTATTTGACACAGAGAGACACACAGAGACACAGCGAGAGAGCAAACACAAGCAGGGGGAGTGGGAAAGGGAGAAGCAGGCTTCCCATGGAGCAGGGAGCCCGATGTGGGGCTTGATCCCAAGACCCTGAGATCATGACCTGAGTGGAAGGCAGACACTTAATGACTGAGCCACCCAGGCCCCCTTACAGTTCTTCATATATTCTGTATATTAGTCCCTTATCTGATAGATGATTTGTAATTATTTTCTCTTATTCCATAGGTTGCCTTTTCACACTATTGTTTTTATTTGTACACAGATGTAGTCCCATTTGTCTTTTGTTGTTGTTGCCTTTGCTTTTTGGTGTCATATCTGAGAAATTAGTGCCAAATCTAATATCCTGAACCTTTTCCCCCAGTGTTTTCTTCTAAGACTTCAGTAGTTTTAGGTCTTACATTTAGGTCTTTAATCTGTTTGAGTTAATTTTTGTGTGAGTTGTAAGGTAAGGGTCCAAGATCATTCTTTTCCATGTAGATATCCAGTTTTCCCAACACTGATTGTGGAAGAGACTGTCCTTTCCTCATTGAGTAACCTTGGCTCCCTTGTTGAAAATCATTTGACTAGATATGCAAGAGTTTATTTCTTGGCTTTCTATTCTGTTCTGTTGGTCTTTATCTTTTTTCCACTACCACACTGTCTTAATTACTGTTGCTTTGTAGCAACATCTGCGTATCAAAAGAAATAGTCAATAGTGACCAACTGACTGAGCCACCCAGGTGCCCCAGAGTTGTGTTTTATTTTCATTTAGTTCGAAATATTTAAAAATTCCTTTTGTGATTTCACGTGTTATTTAGAAATGTATTATTTAATCTCCAAGTAGTTAGGGATTTTCCAGTGATATTTCTGTTACTGATTTCTAGTTTAATTTCACTGTGGTCTGAGAGCATTGTGTCATTTCTGTTATTTGTTAAGGTATGTTTTAAGGTCCAGAATGTGGTCCATCTTGGTGAATTTTCTTTTCTTTTCTTTTTTTTTTTAAGATTTTATTTTTACTTATTTGTCAGAGAGAGAGGCAGAACACAAGCAGGGGGAGAGGCAGGCAGAGGGAGAAGCAGGCTCCCCGCCGAGCAAGGAGCCCGATGGGGGACTCGATCCCAGGACCCTGGGATCATGACCTGAGCCGAAGGCAGCGGCTTAACCGACTGAGCCACCCAGGCGCCCCCCTTCTTGGTGAATTTTCTGTGTGAGCTTGAGAATAATGTGACTTCTGCTGTTGTTGAATGAAGTAGTCTATAGATGTCAGTTATATCCAGTTGAATGAAGGTATGGTTGAGTTCCACTGATTTTTCTGCTTTCTGGATCTTTTCATTTATGAGAGAGGGATGTTGAAGTGTCTTAACTATGATAGTGGATTCATATATTTCTCCTTGTGGTTTCATCAGTTTTTATCTCTTGTAATTTGATGCTTTGTTGTTCGGCATATACCCACTAAGAATTGTTATGTCTTCTGAAGAATTGATTCCTTTGTCATTATATAATGCCCCCCTTTATCCATGATAACTTTCAGTGCTTTTAAGTCAGCTCTGTCTAAAATTAATATAGCTACTCCTCCTTTCTTTTGATTTGTGTTACCATGGTATATTTTTCTCCATTCATTTACTTTTAATCTGTGTCTTTATATCTAAAGTGAGTTTCTTAATAGGCAGCACACAGTTGGGCTGTGTTTTTTAATTCACTCTGAATTAGATTAAATTCAGTCTCTTTTAATTGGTTTAGACTGTTGACAAAGTGATTATTGATATAGTTGGATTGATATCTACTACATATATAATAAATACTTCTATTTGTTGTCTTTATTCTTTGTTCCTGTTTTTGTCTTCCACTCTTTTTCTGCCTATTGTGGTTTTATTTTTTAATTTAATTTAATTTTTAAAAAAAATATTTATTTATTGAGAGAGAGTGGGGGAGAGGGATAAGCAGACTCTGCGCTGGCAGGGAGCCCGATGAGGGGCTTAATCCCAGGACCCTGGGATCATGACCTGACCCAAAGGCAGATGCTTAACTGACTGAGCTACCCAGGCGCCCCTTCCTATTGTGGTTTTAAATGAGCATTTCTATGATTCCATTTTTTTTCCTTCCTTCGCATATAGATATACAGATATAGATATAGGTATCTCTAATATATCTTTTTTTTTTTTTTTAAGAGGTTGCCCTAGAATTTATACGTTTACAGCTAATCCAGGTCCACTTTCAGATAGCACTATACCACTTCATGGGTAGTATGAGGACTTTATAATAATAAAATAATGGTAATTCCTTCCTCCTATCATCTGTATCATTGCTGTCATTTACTTCATTTATATATAAATATATGTAAGCAAGTATGTATATATAAGCAAATATGTATATATTTACATGTATACATAGGATAAATACATAAGCATACACAATTGAATACATTGTTTCTATTATTTTGAACAAACTATTATTGTTTCGGTCAATTAAGGATAAGAAAAATAAAGGGATTTTTTGTCTTCACTCATTCTTTCTTCATTGCTTTTCCCTTCTCTGTGTAGATCCAAGTTTCTGACTTGTATTATTTTTCTTCTAACAGACCTCTTTTAACATTCTTTTTTTTTTTTTAAAGATTTTATTTATTTATTTGACAGAGAGAGACACAGCGAGAGAGGGAACACAAGCAG